TGTGAGGTCGATGCCGAATGTGCTGGTGCCAAACTCGGGAAAAACCAAGAGGAGAAATCAGGAAATCCCTGCTGGGGTTGTCCCTTTTCCCTTGCCGTGGATTGGTGGCTGTGGCAGGGACAGCTCGTGGAGGGTTTGGGGGAGGATTCGGGGGAGGATTTGGGATCCCTGTGGCCCCAGGGGAGCAGGAGAGGGGACACCAAAGCATTGGAAACTCCAGAGATGGCAGCTTTAATCAGGAACCTTCCCGGGCGACCGCTGGGGACAGGAACCTCTTCCCTGCGCACGGAAACGTCCGGAACGAGCGGGGAGGACACAGAGGGGACGAGAAGGAACGAGGGGCGTGAGGTGGCTCCGTGGGTCACCACCAGACAGCACTGATGCCACACCCGGCCATCAGTCCCCTCTGGAGGTGGCCCTGTCACTTCCTGCGCCCGATCTGGGCCATGAGGTGGGCGTTGGCCGCCGCCTTGGCCCGCAAGTTCTTGGCCTTGGCGATGTTGAAGAGGATGTTCATGATGTTGGTGGGGACGTCGAGGGACAGCGTGACCTTGGTGCGCCGGTCGCTCTTGGCCCGCTCCTGGTGGCCCTTGCCCTTCCCTTGGGCCGCGCCTTTGTCGTGGCCGTCTCCTGGGAACGTCCTTTTGCCCAGCTCGTCCTCCCGCGGCGCCTCCTCCGGGGACGGCGACTCGGAGCCTCGCTTGTCCGGCACGGCCCTGTCCCCCCGCGCGTCCCACAGCGCGGCCTGCACGCAGCTCAGGATGGAGGCGGCGCCCGACAGGCCCAGGGCGCGGCCGCTGCCCGCGGCTCCCAGCAGGACGAGGAGCAGCAGCAGCCTGGAGTGGGACATGGCCCTGGGGACAGCGAGGGGAGGGCAGAGAGGGCCGTGAGCTTCCCCTGGGGGCCAGGGGGGTGATCCAGGCTCTTTCCCCGTCCCCTCGGATCCTGTGCCCGCAGCTCCCGGGGTCGCCCCAAAGGTGGGCGGGTGGCCATGAGGCCCCCGGGCCGGGGCTTCGGGGCGTTGGTGGCAAAGGGGGAGAGGGAAAGGAGGTTTGTCCCCATGGAGGGGGGGATTGGAGCTTTGAGTCCATGGAAATCCCATGGAGGGGGGGATTGGAGCTTTGATTCCATGGAGGGGGGGATTGGAGCTTTGATTCCATGGAAATTCCATGGAGGGGGAAATTGGAGCTTTGATTCCATGGAAATTCCGTGGAGGGGGGGATTGGAGCTTTGATTCCATGGAAATTCCATGGAGGGGGAGGATTGGAGCTTTGATTCCATGGAAATTCCGTGGAGGGGAGGATTGGAGCTTTGATTCCATGGAAATTCCGTGGAGGGGGAGGATTGGAGCTTTGATTCCGTGGAGGGGGGGATTGGAGCTTTGAGTCCATGGAAATTCCACAGAAATTCCACAGAAATCTCATGGAGAGAAGTGTTTGGCCTTTGCTTCCATGGAAATTCCACAGAAATTCCATAGAGAGGAGGATTTGGCTTTTCCTTAATGGAATTTCCATGGAAGTGAGGATTTGAGCTTTGCTTCCATGGAAATTCCATGGAGAAGAGGATTTGGCCTTTCCTTCACCGGGGTCAATTTTGGGGTCATTTTTGGGGTCATTTTTGGGGTCATTTTTGGGGTCATTTTGGGTCTTTTTGGCCCATTTTTCGGAGCAGTAAATCCCTGGATATCTCTCCTGCTCCACAAACCCTCCCCATCTCCCTTTATCCCCACCCGACCTCTCCAAAAAAAACAAA